AGGAACAAACTTTATAAAACCGATGGTACCTTAAATAGTGTGACATAAGTGACAGCGGTGGTACCAACAATTATACCAACATCACCTGATTTGTGTGCCAAAAAACGGTCCACAAAACAAGAAATTCCCCATGTGTTACAATTTTGTTTCCCAAAGACAATGTTTATATTTTTAATTAATTAAAATGGGTAATGCAGGGAGCAGCGTCGTGCACAGGGAAAGGCAAAAATCTAGTGATACTGCACCATCGTCTCCATCCAAAGAGGGCCAGGCGTTTATTTTTGATAGAAAATCAGAGAGTAGAATCCAGCCCCAAGGTTCCCATGAAGATGAGGTCCCTTATTTCACAAAACCTCCAGTTGCTTATGAACCCAGCAGACCAAGGGCAAATACAGGTATTTTAAAATCTCACCTAAATCTTTCGATACTGCTAAATGAGTCATATACAAATTAGGGAATGAATATTTATTTATAATTGTTCATGTTTTTATTTTTGTTCAAGTTTCTGAGGGATCACAGTTACGAAATGCAACAGAGTCGAAGACTCCCACAGTATTTCGATGGGAAGGAGGCGGAAGGAATGTGTATATTAGTGGGACTTTTACAAATTGGCAGACAATACCAATGGTAAAAAGTCACGGGGATTTCGTGACAATTATTGACTTACCTGAAGGTGAACACAAGTATAAATATTATGTAGATGGTGAGTGGAAGAATGATCCCACTAGTAAAATAGTTGACGAGGATGGTGAAAAAAAAAATCTCATTACTGTGAAACAGTCTGATTTTGAGGTAAGAAAGAGTTTTCTGTTTTATAACGTTTCCTCGGCAACTTTTCTACTTAGGTATTTCAAGCGTTGGCGAAGGACAGCGAGAGTCACAAGGACGACTCCCAAAAAGAATTCGGACAGGAAGTGCCCATAAACAAACCTTGGGAGAAAACCAGCGGGCCCCCGATTCTACCCCCACACCTGTTACAAGTTATATTAAATAAAGACACACCCTTATCGGTGAATATTAACCTTGTTATTGTTTCGTAGTCTGAATCCTTTTTTTTCAGTGTGAGCCTACTCTACTGCCAGAACCGAACCACGTGATGTTAAATCACCTGTACGCGTTATCGATAAAGGACGGCGTGATGGTCTTGAGCGCCACGCACAGGTATCGGAAAAAATACGTAACCACCCTCCTCTATAAGCCAATTTAATTTATACTTCTAATTTATTTTTAAATGTAAATAATTCTAGCAACGTATTTAATTTATTTAAACCCTAGATTTATACTGACATGTTCTTTCCCGGTTGATTTGCCAGTCCGTACACGTAAATGTTGCCTATCGTGATGTGTTTATAGTGACGCTTTTTGCTGAAATCTTGAAGTGAGTGGCATATGCGAGATAAATTAAAAAAATTTCACAACGTATTTCAAAGTTTTTTTTTTTTCATATGTGAAATATGGTCAGAATTTCATCGTCTACAGGACAAGTGCCTTCGAGAAAAGTTACTAATATGCCATTCAGATTGGGGTTGCTATTTTGTAAATATAAGATACTTGTAGATTTACTACAACACACCAAAAATCTGTTACTTTTTAATAGTTCTGTTAAAGAAGCAATAATGTAACTAAAAATATGAAGATTAACATTTTTCCATATACAGGGTGTCCCAATTCGTAGTGGTGCAGGCCGTTAGTGTAATAAATAAAAAGTAAATGAAGTTCCAGCATTTTTTATTATACAGGGTGTCCAGGATATGGTGGGTAATTTCTTGGACTTGTAAAAATGACGTCACAAGTTTATATACATTTTTTTTTACATGTTATACATGTTTTGATAGTTCAAACTCTTCTTTTAATGTATTCAATTTACCGATAGCTACTTTGGAGCCCAGAACCCAAAAAAACTGTATAGGCCTACTTTTTAAATTTTCATTGCCATTTTTAAGATTTTTGACAGTTTTTAAATGACAATGTACTTGCTTGATATCGATACAACGAACTGATTTCGAGATAAAATCGTTTAACGATAATTTTCGACATACGTTAATTGTACCAACATGAAAACAAAAGTCGGATAATTTATGCAGTGAAATAAGTATATTTTTTCGTTTAAAAGAGCACAAAGGTTGCAAAAATGACGACAAAAACTAAAAAAGTAGGCCTATTATTAATTTTTTTAGGAGGGTCAAAATTGCTGATGGCGTTTTACCCCCGGATCTGCATTCTATCAGTAGATCGAATACATTAGTATAAATAGCTTCAAATAACGTAGCTTCTCTTAAAATCGAAATTTGATGAGAAACAAAAAAATTACAATGAAAAATGATTTTCTCTACAGGGTGAGCCCAAATAAAAAAAAAAAATAATTATACAAGCTTATGATATTTTTTGCAAGATCTGTTCAAATTTGGAAGATTGCCTGCCATTTCCTTTATACAGTTTAATATTTTATATCCCCAAAATAATAAATCCTGAGATTGCTATAATTTTTTTTAAGTGCTGAAGTCAAACGATGTAGGAACGATTTTTTTTGTATAATTTTTAATATTAAAAAAAATGGAGCAATCCGAATGAATGGTGATAGAATATCGTAAATTTCTTATGAAAATATTACCAATATAATTAAAAAAAAAATGGGATTTAAAAAATCATAGCAAGTTTACGATTTAAGAAAGTTAGTTTGCAAATATTCGCGATCTTGGGAATTATTTACCTGAAAAATATTTGAATTTCATTTGTTTTTTAATGGCCTGTACGTCTATAAATTGGTACACCCTGTACGGGTGAATCCAATAAATGATTGCCTTGACGAAAAGTAGGTTATTTTAATGAAAATAATTTCAAAATTATCAGGTGTTGAGAAGCTTTCTCTCTTGATTTTGCCCTCAAATTTACTCTAATCTTTTAAACGGATCACATTGAGTCTTTAAGAGGGCTCTATAGCAAATAGGCAACCGGTAATACATTTTTATCGTTTTTGTTACACAGTTTGTCTAAATATGAATTAATGCACGAATAACGGACTTTCCTCCATTCTAATGCAGATTTTCTATGAAATGGACTTAGTTTGAAACTCAAATCACTTTTTGGTGTAAAGAAATTTGTAATTTACGATGTTCAAAAGTGGCAAATTACAAATTTCTTTACAACAAAAAGTAATTTGAGCTTCAAACTAACTCCATTTTATAGAAAATATGTGTTAGAGTGGAGGAAAGTCTGTTATTTGTGCATTGGTTCATACTTAGACAAACTGTATAAGAAATTCTATAAAAATATATCATTTATTTGAATCACCATGTAAAGAATTAAGCGTATTTATTTTTTTGTGCCAATATATTTGGTGGTGTATATACATATAAAAAAAAGGTTATTGGAATATCTACAGTGTGTTCTCGCATAGATTTCACAATAGGGAAGACATTTTTATTGTTCAGTTTATAGGAAAATGTCTTTCTTTGTAAACACGTTTGCTTGTCTTCAAACTTCAATCTCAAGTGAAAAAACTTTAACTCTAAACGAACTACTTTAGAACAGAATTTCGTGTATATTTAACGATTTTCAAATATTTTCCTGAAATTTAAAAAAATTGTAATCACGTATTTGGTGCTTGGAATTGTAGTTTCAAGACGAGCAGGCGTTTTTATAAAAAATTCCATTTTCGTGTTTTCCCTTTTGCAAACTGTAGGAACACGCTGCTATATATAAGATTACTTTTGTTGTGCCTATGAAAAAAGTAAAACAATAAGTATAACGTAAACTTAAGATTGTAAAAATTATGTAGAAATGTTGATATCGTAACCAATATATAGTTTTCACGAGCAAGTTTTTTAATCCCTCGTCATTTTACGAAGTTTATGGGACGTGATAAGATAAACTAGATTGTAAATAGACCGATTAATCTTCTAGAGTGAATTATTAAGACATAATCAGTTAAGACAATCATGTAAGTCTGTTTTGTCATTTTTTTAATTTTATTTATACCCGAGTATTTCGAAATAAAATGAATTGTTCATTGAAACGACCCATATATTCATTTTTCCTCCTAAACAGTGACCATTAATTTTATTTTCTTTACGTTGGCAACATTAAAACGTAACATTCTTTTTCATCAACTGGGATTTTCACAAAATTCAATTCAACCAATCAGCGATCGCATTATCTCGAGAGTAGACGTAACGGTTTATCATGGTTCATGTAAACGATGAGGTTGCTTTTGCTGTACAGCAAAATAAAACACTCGCTCAACGATAAAAATAAAGTATTTTTATTGAAAACTAAGCTTGTGAAAGAGACGTGTCGTTGGGGCGAGTGTTTCCTGGAGAGTCGTCTTGGTGTGGAGTCACTCGCAGAAGTATCAGGTCCTTGGCGCCAATCTGCCGTCGACCTTTTTTTTGCGTCCCGGGTGGCGTCAGGATGGCGCTATTGACGTTGTACTTAAAAATGGGTCACTTGCAGCATGTGTACCCACAACGAATTTTAATATTGGTGATGCTTGGATTAAGGGCTGTTCATGTCTGCGCGAGTAGATATTATTAAAAAGTAATAAATAACATACTTTTATTAGTTCGAGATTCATTTTTCACACAATAATAGAAATAATAATAATAATAATTAAAAACGAACGAAATACATAAAATACACACAACTCTGTCAAAAATCACTCGGTCGAGAAATATTAAAACAATATATTGCAGCACCCGTTATAAAAGACCCTTAAAATTAACAGTACGATAAAATAAAATTAGATCTATAAAATTCTGGCCCGTGACCACCCTTTCAGCTGCCGTTTCTCTCTCTTTTAATGACGAAATTTCCCCTGTGAACGGAATCGAAACTGTACCCACCAACTTTTCGCAATCGTTTGAACCTAAACAGTGAATCGTCGTTTATTAGTAACCTGCGGAGGCTCGAGCGGGGGCTGGTGGAGGCCAGGGGAGGCCCCGCGTCTGAACTGCCTCGGCGGGAGGGGCATGACGATGGTCGTAGCTTCACCTGTCTGAACACGTCCGATGTGATCGCAGGCTTGAAGAGGCGACGTGACGTCGTTAAAGCGTTAGGACGATCCTAAAAACGTTTTCAAATATTCAAAAATTTGAAGCGTCTGAAAATCTTGAGGTGTCGAATGACCAGAAGTATTAGTTTCCAGCTTAGGCGTTTAGTTTCATGTCATATGCGTGCAAGTAAGGAATTTTTAATAATCCCAGTACGGAGTTACATACTTACCGATGTTTTCTTAAGTTTTACTTTCAAAATATCATCCAGTGATATTACAGGCCTAGAATTGTCAGTAGGAGTTTTGGTTTTGCTTTCCTTCGAAATCTTCAGTGGATTAGAAACTGCTGTTGATAATAGTGGTGGTGGCGGTGGTGGCGGTGGCGGCGGCGGTGGTGGTGGAGGTGGCAAACAAGGCATTTGAATAGGTGCCATTGGTGTGTATTTTAAACAATTAAATTGTTCCTTAAACTGAAATAAAGCCTCCTTCATCTATAAATAATTATTATTATCGAATAAAATTAAAAATATAAAAAAAAATATTAAAAATAAATAGGATTAAAATTACCTCATTCAGTTCTTTACGCAGCATTTCCATGCTATCCGCGTTAGATTTTTCTTTTTCCAATCGTGATTTAACAAGTCTAATTTCTTCGGTTAGCTCCTCCATTTTCACGTTAAGTCTGGCAATATCTTCTCTGTAGCCGTCACACTTACAAATGGGTTTTCCAGAACCTTGTAGCATTGAACTTTCATTGTAAACGTCGCACATTAAAGACACGCTCTAAAACGATAGGAAAAACAATGCACAGCCGAAAATATATTACGTGAGTACTTACATTTTTCAAATAAACCCCTAGCCGAGTACATAAGTTCATCACCTTAGAAATTCTGGTGTACTTCATCAGTATAGTCAGTAGTTTCTCACATATTCCACCTTTAACTAACTCTACACCGTCCACTGATGATCTAATGATATTTAACCTAGAATAAGTCAAAGAATGTCTTTTACTGAATATTCTTGTCAGAATTTTCAAACTGCTCGGGCTGGTTTTGTTGTTAAGAACCTACAACGTTAATAAGTATAAGCTTTACTTTACTGAATATTACTGATGAGAAAACCAACCTTTTCCAACGAGGGATTTTTATATAAATTCAAATTCAGATCTAACTTTGTGGGTTCTGGAAGGTCCAGATTATTTCGTATATCCAAGACCGAACTGGTATCATTTACGTTTTCTTTTCTCTCTCTTAAATTATGCACTATACTATCGTCTTGATTCGATTTCTCTATCGGCGTAGAATTTTGTTGGAATAAATTTGAAGAAAAAATCGAACCGTATTTCTTTCTCTCTGGTCCAGTCATACTACAACTATTATTTACAGGAGTAGCCCATATTGGTGATAACTCATCCTCAAATGATTCCGTGTTATTTCTTTGTGCATCGGGATTCTTTACTGGTGTAAATAGTTCTAAGGGACTAATAGGTTTACTTCTGTTCAAAGAGTCATCATTAAAACATGCTCGCACCACTTCATGTGATGGAGATTTCCTTCCACGGCCTTTGCGATTTCTCCGATTTCTTCTACGTTTCATCTTTATTATAACTAAAAATAATACAAATTTAAATTCTAACCGTCTCTTACGTCAAAACAAGTATTATTTTTAGAAACAAGTAATCATATATTTAATTGTATATATTATACTTACCTTACAGCTAAATAATGCCAAGTATGAATTGGTGCCACATTCAGTTTTCCTACTAAAAAACTTTTATAAAAAAACAAACCTACGATAAAAAGGCATTTCGTTTGAAACATGTAAATTCTGTGGTTTGAAACTGAAACGTTGGAATTTAAATTTCAAAATTAAAGAGTTTGGGAATTATGACATGACTAGATGGCAGCACTGCTTAGAACTCAAACTTTTTAGAGCTACATGGAGGAAGCGCCACGTTAAAACGTGTACACGCTGTAGAGAGAAAGAGCAATAGTTCTCGCTCTCTTAATTTTATTTGCATATCACGAGGGCAAAGAGTATATAATTCTTACTCTTTGACGAGGGAGTTGCATTAGCCAATAACGTGCCTGTGCGAGAGAGAGAAAAATAGTACACAAACTTTCTCTCTCTCTCTGTCACTTGTCTACACAGTCGCCATAAGTTTGTTTTCTCTATGATGTGTGATCAAAGCCAGAGGTCCCCAAACTTTTTTCTCACATTTTTTTTTTAATATGTAATAGTGTAGTAAATAAACCTTGTGTTTTGAGTGGATTAAGTCAAACAACGCCAATCAAAAATTTAAAAAACATTTAATATATTAAAACAGGACAAATTAATATAATCTATTTACTTATACCCATGAGTATCTTTGAAATATTTGTATAAATTAATTAACACCTATCTTTTAATCTTCAACTAACGAATCTAAAACTGTTAATCATCATTAAAAATGAAATAGACAACACAATACGATTTATTATTGCAAGTAAACTTTTTTAGTCCCCAGACCTGCTGACGTTTGGAATGTATATTGAAACGTGGATATTTCAAAGACACCCTGTACGAACCAACACAACAACGATTCATTTAGACATAACGTTATGCTTAGATTTGAGATGAGTCGTCAGAGATACTTTCTGCGGGAAGCCCATACTGCAGTATTCACATATAAACGGTCTTTCATTCGTGTGTTGCCTTGTGTGTATTTTTAGGGCGTATGGGCTCGTAAATCCTTTCTTGCAAAAAGTACAACTATGCGGGCGTTCCCCAGTGTGGGACTGTGTATGTTTCTTCAGATCTCGCACTCGTTTCCCACACAATGTGCACATTACCTTCCGAGCTTCCGGATCTGAAATGACAAGTATCAATGTGATAAATATGTTACAAACATTAGCGAAAGTTACCTGTGTGTGTTTTTACATGTCTGTGGTGCTCCGATTTGACTCTAGAAGTTTTTCCGCATATTTGACACGTGTATATAATTCCTTTATGTATGAGCGTATGTCCACGTAACGATTCGGGGTTTTTAAACACTTTCCCACACACATTGCACGTAACCGGACCTTCCAAATGCATCTGAACGTGTCGTTTTAGGTTATCGGTTCTCATGACTATTCCACAAATGTTGCACACTCCCGGAGCCATATGGATGCTTCGTCTGTGGTTGTACAATTTAATACGAGACGAGAATGTTAAACTACACTCGTTACATTTTGATCTCTTTAAGTGTGCTATAGTGTTTTTAATATCATTCAGACTCGGTTCTTTTAAAATAACTTCTTTAATTTCATGTTCCCTAGCAATATCTGCATTGTCACTATCTTCGTACAAGTCACCGGTATCTTCAACATCGCTTTCGTTCATCTCCGTTTCTCTTTTAACTGCGGAAGTTGGGTGCTTTTCTTTCTCCTTTGTTCGGGGTTTTGAAGTAAAATTGGTTCTCTTAAGAGTATCATATCGCTCTCTTAATTCTATGTCACTGTTTATTATTACTTTTCGGAAACAGAAGAACTTATTTACATTAATAACACATTCTTCACATATTGTAGGTGGATAATAGTCATTGGCAAATATCTAGAAAATGATAAATGTAGATTCTGAGTCGTATATTTATTATCTGTTTACCTGTATTGATGAAATGAATTCAATTTTTTGCACCAAATTTTCGTCACCAATTAAAGGTAGGAGTTTATCTGAAGATCTCAGACAAGTTCTGCATACATTTTCCATCTGCATCGTTGGAATAGTTACATATCTATCACGAATTTGTAGAAAATCAAACAAATTAGGAATTTAAGATTTAACCTATATTTTTTGCTTCAGTAACCACAGAATATAGATAACCCAGATGGGCCAAAACAAAACTTTCATCCACAAACAGTGAGAAAGGGGTGTGGTGGCACCATCTACACATTAAAAATTCAATTAACGCACTAGTGAATGTGAGACAGTTACAGTTGACTACCCTGTGAAGAATTATCCCGTAGCTCAGTGTAATTTCTTAGCGATAGATGGCGGCATGAAAACAGCTTGATTGATCAATCTGCACAAGTGAGCGTTTCACTTCACTGATCCAAATTTTCAGTAGCAGTAAAAATTATAGTGATCTAAACGCGGTACGGTACGCACTGGGGCCGCTAAACACGTGAGGATGGTCTGTTTTTGTGCAAGAGCTTCCGTTAATAATTTTCAAAAACTGAATGAGCTGGAGATTAACTGAATACAGTTTTGGATTGGTCAGTCCCGTTATACTTCACCTCACCGGTAAAATTCTGAGGAAATCAATAGACTATAATCCTTATTAGTTTAATGTTTAGTGTAATATACACAATCACGGCTAGGGCCCGAGAACTTATACTTGAAAAAATGGGGAAACTCTGGGAACCACGTGACTTGAGATGGATATACAAGTTGGGGAAAGAGTCTATAGATGTCGCCACAAAGATTTTGTAGAATAAATTTTGACAATTGCAATTATGAATCATTTCATGTCATTCTTGTTCATGTTTGTTGTTTATTGTTGGTTAGGTTTGGCGAGTGTTGGTGTGTGTTTTATTTGTGTTTTTAGTGTGTTTTATTAGATATTTCATTCACATTTATTTATATAACATAATAATGTCTGATCATCATATAATCACATTTTTTTATTAATAATAAAATGTTTTTTTTTTTTTTTTTTAATAAAAAATGTGATCAGAGGTAGGTAGTTTTTTTTATGGATATCAACACAACGAAAAATTTAAAGTTGCATAATAAATCTCTATTACAAGAATTAATCAAAGATTGGTTTAGTAAAATTATTTACTTGTAATATTTTTTTATTCACCGTGAAAGCTAATACAATATAGAAAGCACTGAAACTCTATAATCATTTTCACTCTTTTTTTTTCAAAATATGTACTGAAATTTGAAATTTTTTCAACAAACATTTTAAAAAGTTACAGTATCAAAATTATTTCTTATTTTAAGTAGGAAGACTATTAGAGCATTTAAAAGTGTCTTTAATGCTTGAGTGATTTTAATGCTTTTTATCAAATGTACTTATTTTCTCATGGTGACAAAAAAAATTATCTACGTGAAAATTATTTTACAAAATCAATTTCTGAGTGATCTGTGTAGGGTGAGATTTGTTATGTAATTTTAAATTTAGCGGCGGCAGAATACCTAAAACAAATATTGAGTAGGTAGGTATATAGTTGTAGAGCGTACAACTAGATGGCGCTTGCATCTTTTACCGGCTACAGGTAATTTAACTCACTGTATTACCGATAATTCCTAGAAAAGGAAAGCAATAGAAGTTGGAGAAAGTGTCAACAGTTAGCGTTGTTAATGACCACGAAATCTGTTCAAGTTTCATATCTATAGTATCATTTATCTAGGGCCGTGGCACAGTTCAATTTATTGCGAAAGGAGGTGGCGCCATCTATTCATTAAAAGCTCAATTCATTCACCATTATGTTTAAGAGGGCTCTATAGCAAATAGGCAACCAGCAATACATTTTTATGGATTTTTATTATACAGTTTGTCTAAATGTGAATTAATGCATAAATAACAAACTTTCCCCCATTTTAACGCACATTTTCTATAAAATGAACTTAGTTTCAGACTCAAATTACTTTTCGGTGTAAAAAAATTTGTAATTTGCTTGTTCAAAAGCGGCAAATTACAAATTTCTTTACACCAAAAGGTAATTTGAGTTTTTCAAAGTCCATTTTATAGAAAACCGGCGTTATAATGGAGGAGAGTATGTTATTTGTGCATTGATTCATATTTAGACAAATTGTGTAATAAAATCCATAAAAATGTATTGCTGGTTGCCTATTTGCTATACAGCCTTCTTACCATTCATATTTTCCTACCTTATCTATAGCACTGAAGATTTTAAATAAAATTGAAATTTTAGTTAATTATCGTTAAGATTCAATAAAGAAAAACGCATCGCATCTTTACAGTTAGTTTTTATTCATTAAATATTTATCCTAGCTCGAGTGACTTTAGTATAAAAGTATTTACAAGTCTTTAAAAATGATGAAACACGAGAAATTACATCTATTAATTTACAAATAAAATTACAAAAATATGGCAAGAAAATTACAAATATCCTTGATGCAAGGGTAATACAAGAATTCATTTAAAACGTCTCTAAATTACACGATAAAACACCATTCACTATACATACTCCTCGGATGGTTTGGGGGCGTTTGTCAGTCTTAACGACGAAGGGACGCGTCCGTTTACCGAATCCGGTAACTCCGCGATGTCTTTGAACACACCCGCTAAACTTTCGAAATTCGGCCCCCAATTGAGCAAATAATCCCAGCCCAAGGCCGTCGTAGGGGGAGAACCTGTCCCCGGTCTGTACATGGGCCCCCCCAATTCGTCGTCGGAAGCCACTAGCGTACTCATCGATCCCCTGTACGAGGAATCGAACCCATCGTACGACGGAGGAGGTATGCTGCTCTTGTTGCCGGAGTTCGAGTCGTTCCTCCTGGAATCCGATTCGCTCGGCTTATACTTGTCCCCCGTTATGCTCGCGTTGTCGTATTCTATCTCGGAGCAAGTGAAGCTGTCGTTACCACTCTCGTCGGTGGTGGTGCTGCTGTGGTGCGTCTCCGGCACGGGCGAATGGCGCATGTGGTTCAAGTGATTATTCCCGCTCCCCCTGGGTGCTTCGCTGGAGCTCGATACCGCGTCGAGCGTGGATACTAAACTAGAGGTTCGGGGGCGGGAATTCAGTCTTTCTATTTCTTCAGCAGTCAACCCCATTCCTGGAGAGGCTGAGGTAACGGGAGGAGGCGCTGCTGCTTTCCTACTACTAGAACTCTGCCCGCTCAGCTGGGACATCACGGGACTGTTCAAACTGCGCTCACTGTTACTGTGTAGAACGTCTTTGCCCACGCCCCCCGAGCTGGAGGTGGTGGCTAGGAGCGCACTTTGAAGAGGTTTGCCACTGATATCGTGTAACGTCAATATCCTCGGTTGCTGGGCACTCATTTCACTACTGGGACTCAGTCGGGCTAACGGGGTGCTCTGATGAGGTCTGGCGCTGGGGCTGGTGACTGGCGGGGCTCTGGGCGGGTACCCGGTGGGGTGGTGCGGCGAGTGTCGGTGTTGGGCTTGAGCTTGCGCCGTGGAGTGTTTGTGGTGGTACCCCGTTACAGGCGGAGGTGTGGCTTTGTATTTCCTTACTCCACCGGCCTCGCGGTAACCCTTGTAATGGTACACGATGTCGATGTCGGACGGTGCTATCGAGCTGGCATTCTCCAAATCGTAGTGTTCGGGGATTTCGGAATTTAAGTCGTTCGGGCCGTGGTCGTGGTTGTGGTTCGAAGTCGGCGGTAAAGGGGGGTGATGTTCCTCTCTCATCGGAGGGCTCTTACTGACTACTTCCCTCTCGATGATGTCCGGCCTTTGCGGCCTTGGCATTTCGCCTTGGATTATCTCCCTTTCCTTGTATTTCTTCGATAGGAGTTCCGGCCCCACTAAGGGATGTCCGCCGATCCCTCGGATAACGTCGCCGTCGGCGTGGTACGCCATGGAGTTGTCCGCGGCGTGCATGCCTCTTCCCAGCACGTTATCGTTCACCGCGTTCAAGCCGTTGCTTCCCATCATGGTCCCGCCGCCGTTTTGCTTTGTGTGTATGCCGGAGGAGCTATTCGGGGCGCCTCCCTTCTCTTTATATTGTTTTCGCAGTCTAAAAACTACAAAGGAAACTAATATGGCAACAAGTAATACAACGAAGAAAACAATAACAAGAGTTATCCCGATACTGAGGGGGTCGGGAGTGGCGGCGGTTCCTACGCCCACCGGTCCGTTGCAGTCTTTCGAGGCTTTCCCTCGGAGTAGGACCTCGTGGAATACCGTGCCGGAGCCGTTAAACGGTTGGATTTCGTTATTGACGGTGAAGTTGGCGAAGCACCCTTCGAACGGTTCCGGTAAAGAATCGTGAGCGTAATAAGTGCTTCGTGTCGTCCCGCCGATCGAGAGGTGCGTTAGATACGGATCCAAGAAGTCGTGCACCCCCGCCGAGTCCAACTCGTCGCCGATTTTATGACCGTCCAAAATCACTTTTAGTCCGCGGCTGTGCGAATGCAACGTGAGATTGTGCCACTGACCGTCCGTTACCGTCGGATGGGTTTCCGTCATATTCACAACCGTAGAGAGTTTACTTATGTACACTATCTGTCCACTTATTAATTCCAGCGAGGTGTAATGTTTATTGCTGGTCGCGTACAGGATAATTCCATTCTGTTTTACCGTCCTGAACAGCACACTTAAACTTTTATCCGGGGAATCGTACACGGGAGCGTTATGCATACTAGCCGTAGATCTAACTTTCCTTTGGCGATTCCAAAGCGTCGAGCCCTTGTACAGATTTTCCAGCAGTTGCATCCTCTTGTGCTTCTTGGAAATCGTAAATTCTACGTATCCTCCGCCGCTGACGCTTACGGGTTGTAGGGCGCTGTGACAGTTCGGCGCTATCAGGTTATTTCCGCAGTTGCAGCTGATGGTACTCCAGCGGTCTATGCAGGGGCCGAATCCCAAACACGGGTCGTTGGAAGGTTTGTCGCAAGATCCCTTCCTGATGCATTTCTTTTCTATTCCCTCCGACTCCAAGGGTTGGCTGAGGTTGAGCTGCCGCCCGTTTACGGAAACGCTGTGGACGCAGCCGACGAGGTCGTCCGAGTGTATTTGTCCCGGTCGCTCCAGTACCGGATCGGCGCTGTTTAAGCCGCCAATCAGGAGTGGTTGGTTGTTGAAGTTCAACGTGCTGAAAAAACAGTAAATGTAAATAACAATTATAAAGTCTCAAGGTTCGCGCATTAGTTCGTACTATGACTGAGCAGTCTTTTGAATATTCGAACAACAATAAGTTATTTGACTGACGGTGCCCGCTGGAGTTTGGAGAGGGAGGCTGCGAGGTGGCGAAGTGTTTACACAGACCGGACATTCGAGATGAGAGTCTCAAGCATACAATTAAATTAATCATCTATCTCCCTTCACATGCACTGTAATTGCCTACAATTCACGAATACGGTGGCATTTTTAAGTATTAAAGTGCATTTTAAAAAACTAATAACTCGACTATTTATTTGATTAAATAAAAAGAATAATTGTCATTTATGGTTAAATAGAACTTACCCGCTAGGCCCTATATCATCAGCGTAACAGGTGTTATCCCCAGGCCTGCATTCCTCGCAAACATCTCCTTGTTCGGAACAAGCGCCGACGCTCAGCGAGACCACCCTCCCGTTCCTTGTCGCCGTGATCTTATGCCAATTCCCATCGGCCAAATTGTTCGACTTGCCTCCTACGCTAACGGAAGTGATAGCCGTTCTTGCCCCGCCAAACGAAAAGACCGCTCTGCCGCGCACCAGTTCGACAGCCACGAAATCGCTTCTTCCTCCAGTCTGCAATCCGAAGTTGTAGATTAACAGCGCGTCAGGCTTAGTAGTGGCAAAGATGAACGAAATGTCGTTCGTACCGGCGTCGAGCGAAGGGAACGCCATGTACGACAAGTCGTTAAATCCGTAGGTGGATCTCTCGCAATGCCTGCCGTATCTTCCATCGGTGCAGCTGCACTTGTATCCCGGTTTTAGGCTGACGCAGTGTCCGCCGTGCACACACGGATTCGGCCGGCACGAATCCGCCAGAGCTTCGCATTGGTTACCCCTGTAGCCGGACCTGCATAAGCAGAAGAACGATGAACCGTCAGGGCTCTCGCGGCAAGAACCGCCGTTCTGGCAGGGATTTTCCGAACAAGCGTCTCCCCTTTCCAATTCGCACTGGCGACCGTCTCTGTTAGGTGGGCATATACATTGGAAGTTGAAGCCGTGTCGTCTACATTGACCGCCGAAGTTGCAGGGATTCGGCGAGCAAGGATCTTGCCTCTTATTGCAAGTGGTACCGGTGAAACCGTCGGCGCACTGACAGTTGTATTCGTGTACCACCAAGGGCGATGTGAAGATTATGTTTTGGCTGTCGGTTATTTTCGTGTTTCGCTTCACGGTTATTTCCTCTGTGCATATTCCACCGTTCTCGCAAGTGTTGTCGTTGCAGGGTGTGTAACCGATTCTCATGTCGGAGCTTTGAAATAAGTTGATCAGGTCCTCGTGTTTTTTCTCTATTTTCTCGGCGGTGTAGAATTTGCTCCGGTAACTGACGCCGTTTCTTATGGCCAGGGTTATTTCTAAACTTTCCTCGTTCTCGTAGAGGCTGTAGAGAGTTAGAACTTCGCCAGGGTTTAGTACGCTTTTCAGGACGTCTAGCAAGCCCCTGTAATATTGGGCTAAGAAGAATTCAGCGGTGGTATTCGCAATGCGTATAGTTACCGAATTCTCCACCGTGGCGTTGCTGAAGGAGACAAATTCTACGGTTACTGTCGAAATAACATCCGAATGTTTACCGTCGTTTCCGGATACGGATAGGGAGTATCCCTGACCGGGGGTTATTCGGGACGTGTGCAAGTTGCAATCCGAAGGAATCGATAATACGCCGCTTATCATGGGCTTTTGTAAGATCCTGCACGTGTAATCTCCAACTAAATCGGGGTCGTTGGGATGCACGTCGGCAATCTTGCCGATAGGGAACGCTTCGTTGAACACGTATACTATTACGTGGACCGACCTAGAACTCGAAGGACTGTCATTTTCGTCCAATATTTCTATCTTGACGTTGTGTTGCGATCTCATTCTAGGCGTGCCGCTATCCTCGACCTCAATAATAATGCTCAGTTGTGGAGTTAGTTCTCTGTCTATCATCTTCGTGGTTAGGACGAGTCCGGTGTGTTTATCGATCTTAACGAAATCTTTATGTTTTCCCCCGATGAGTTTATATGTGAACGGAGCTCCGTTCGGAGGCAAGTCCGGATCCTTGGCCGATAAGGTCATCACTTTGGTATTTGGCGGTTCATTTTCCATCACTCGACCGATAACTTGTGGCGGATCGAAGACTGGGCCGTTGTCGTTGATATCGGAAACTTGTATTTTAACGATCGTCGTTCCCGTTTGTGGAGGTATGCCCGTATCGATTGCGCCAACCACTAACGAGTACATGGGTATGGTTTCTCTGTCTAAAATCCTAGCGGTTTGAATTTCTCCCGTCTGTGGATCGATCTTAAAGGCTTGTTCGAAGTTACCGCCGATAATCGAGTAACTAAATTGGTTGTTCTGGGATCGTACGTCTTTATCTACCGCTTTCACTGTCAACACTTTGGTTCCTACGTTTGCTCCTTCAGAAATTTCTGATTCGTACAAGTCTTGTAAGAATTCGGGCGGGTCGTTGCCGTCTTGTACCGTCACGATAACTTGGGCTTCGTCGGTGTCGTTACCTCGGATTCCACCCGCATTTTTGGCCATCACCGTTAAAACGATTCTGCTCTGGGTCTCCCTGTCCAAGTTTCTAGAAACGCTGATGGTGCCGGTTTCTGTGTTTATACTAAAGCCTTTGTCGTTGCTAGAGCCCACAAAGAGGTAATACACTTTCCCGTCGTCTCCCGAGTCCTGATCGGTGGCCTGAACCGTTCCAATTCTCGTTCCAACTTCTGTGGACTCGGACACATCGAAGTGAAATACCGGTTGGATAAATCTAGGGTAGAATTCGTTCACTCCCGTGATATGAACTTGCACTTCGGTGGTTCCGAACATATTGGAATCTGGATTCGCAGCGATTATATTTAACACGTATAAGAATTTTTCCTCGTAATCGAAGCTTATTTTAGATGTGATGTCGCCGGTTTGTTTGTCGATACCAAACACGTCCTTGTCTGGTCCTTCCGATATCGAATACTGTATGATCGCGTTCTTCGGTGAATCGATATCGGTGGCTTTGACTTGATACACGAAACTGTGCGGTGGTAAGTTCTCTGAAAGATAGGCGTCGTAACTGGATTGGTTGAACTTTGGAGAATTATCGTTGATGTCTGTCAAAGTGATAGTTAACATTGCGGTGGTTCTGCGTGGCGTGAATCCCAGATCTTCCGCGGTTATGTTCAAACGATACTCCTGAATGGTATCGTAGTCCAGAGGTTGAAGTATCGTGACTGCGCCGGAAACAGGATCGACGGTAAATTCTTTCCTTTCGTTCCCTGCCGATATCTGGTACCGTATCATTCCGTTCGGGCCTTGATCTCTATCGGAAGCGCTCACGGTGAGAATGGTGGAACCGAGAGGTTCGTTTTCGGGGACGATTACTTGGTAGCTCAATGCGGTGAATACCGGGTTGTATTTATTCTCTCCGGTAACGATAAGAGTGACCGTTACTTCGTCCTGTTGCGGCGGAATACCCTTATCGGTAGCTCGAATTCTTAGGTTGTATAAAGTACCGACGCTGTACACTTTTTCTTTCACCGACACCCACCCGTTCACTTTGTCGACAGTGAAATGTTTCGAGCCGTTTCCTCCAACCATCGAGTATTCTACTTCTGCGTTTACTCCAACATCTAACTCGTCCTTGGCAACGACCTTTAAGAGTCGCTGTCCTTCCACTGCGTCTTCCGGGACAGGTGACAGGTACTCCTTCTGTTCGAAGCTAGGAGCGTTATTATTTGCATCCACGATATTGACCGTTACGAGACATTCGGAAGACATTGGCGGCTTTCCGTTGTCTGTCGCGAGTATAGTTAACGAGTACATATTTTCAGGTGACGATTCCATTTGCGTGTATTTGTACCTGAGACTTCGTTTGCTGAATATCTCGCCCGAAGCGGGGTCTACCGTGAACAGGTCGGAAGGTTGCTGAAGTGAATAGCTAATGACCGAGTTGGGTCCTTGTTTATCCCTGTCGGTCGCCGTAACTTGCCCGACGAACACGATATCTCTTTGCAGTTCGGGGAAGTTGAAACTGTAGTAGGAGTGTTCGAATTCTGGCGCGTTATCGTTTTGGTCCTGGATGGTTATCGTTAAAGGCGTTTCAGACCTCCAAGCCCCGTCCACGGCGGCCACTTTTAGGATGTACTCGTCTTGCTGTTCGCGGTCTAAATGTCCGATTACGGTTACGTTTCCACTGATTGGATCGATCTTGAACTTCTCGCCGGGGTTTTCGGTGAAACTGTAAGTGGCGTTGGCGTTCTCTCCGATGTCTTGATCGGAGCTAGTCACTCGTATCACGAAAGATCCTAAGTCCGCGTTTTCTGTCACGTTGACGCTGAAGAGCCTCGTGAATCTCGGAGGGTTATCGTTTTTGTCAAGGACGGTTACAATGACCGTTGCGGTTCCAGACAGCTGGGGTACCCCTTGATCGATGGCTTCTACTGTTAGCTCGTAACTGGCTATATCTTCGCGGTCCAGTCGGGTGTTAGTGTATATCTCGCCAGTCTCGAAATCGATCTCAAAAGCGCCCTCGAAGTCGTCTAGTAGTTTGTAAGTTACTTGACCGTTTTCTCCGGAGTCTGCGTCGGTGGCTGACACTTTGACGACTAGGAGAGGAGGCGCTTCTTCTTCGAAGACTGATGCGTTGTAGAGTGGATTGTTCATTATCGGAGGATTGTCGTTGGCATCGGTTACGTTTATAATGAGCTGTAACACGCTGCGTAGAGGAGGGTTGTCGGAATCTTGTGCCTCGATCCACACTTCGTATTGAGAAGACATTTCGTAATCTAAGCCTTTTCCGCCGACTTGAACTTCTCCACTGTTTCTGTCTATTTTCAGCGCTTCGCCAGTGTTGCCGCCAGCGATGGCGTATCTGACTTCTCCTACAGGTCCCTTCTTAGGGGAATTTGCTTTGAATCTAGCGATGACTTTCCCTTCCTCTACGTTCTCAGCCAAAATAAACCTGGTCCTTGTCGGTGTGGCGAACCTGGGAAATAAGTGATCTGATTTCAGGAAAACTTTCAGTTCGGTGCTGGCTTTTCTCGGTAACCTTCCTCCGTCCGTAGCCTCGATTTCCAAGTTGAATATGCTGGTCGAGGACCTTTGCAGGTCGTGCAAGGCTTTGATAACCCCAGTTTTTTCGTTGATGGTGAAATTCTTCGCATGTTCCCCGGTTAGTCGGTATTCGATTTTACTGTTTGCTCCTATATCGTCGTCCGTAGCTCTAGCACCGAATACGAATTGTTCACTCTTGGTTCTATCGGAAATATACACTTCGTACTTCGAGGAGAAGAACGTTGGGGAATTGTCGTTTTCATCAGCGATAATTATCGTCAAATTCACAGCAGTAGCCCTGGGTTCCGTAGCGGAACAATCCTGAGCCATCAGGGTGAGGAAATACGAGTCGATATCTTCTCGATCAAGCACGGTAGCCGTGGTGATGACCCCAGAGTCTTGGTCCACTTTGAATCTGTCCACTTTGTCACCCAGAAGGCTGTATCTGATCTTGGCGTTCAAGCCGATGTCTTTGTCCACGGCTACTGGGGTGAGGATCCAGGCTCCGATGGGTGAATTTTCTGGAACCGTGGCGTGGTACGATTGCCGCTTGAACTCTGGGCTGTGATCGTTCACGTCTTGGACCACCACCCGCACGGTGCCGGTTCCAGTTAATGGAGGTGAACCTGAAAGTACAACGATATTCAGAATTTGCCAATAACATTGTTTTATTAATTTACAGCGGGAATAGAGCTAATATAAATTAGACTAATGCATAATATAACTTTTTTCGTAGATTTGAAAGTAAAGTATGCTCGGTGGTATGCGTGTAGGTGGTGTATTTCGAGTCTCGATACATTGCAACATAGGTATTTAAAAAAATACCAAGATTGCTGCCATTTATATTATATAACGGACATTCGCTATTAAAATGACATGTACTTATCTTTATATTACGTTTAATGTCTGGTACAGACTAGTAATAGAAAATGTGGTTGTAATTTCGACCTCGTTTTTGCCTTAAAATATAAATGCCTCAAGTCGCTGATAATTTATTCATGTGAAAGGTCACATTTTGGTCTACTGCTAAAAATGAATACGATAGAAACGATGCAATCATGCAAATACAGAGTGTTGCAATATTCCAAAGATCCAAGTACCTGCTGCGAGGAAATAATATAATAAATATAGAATCAGAATTCATTTCCAGTTTTGATAACGAAAAAGTATTGATTAACCTAACTCAAATAAAAACGTAGTCAAGTTGGTTCTGAAAATTTGGACGTAGGGCGTAGCGTATAGCAAATGAACTTAAACGTCATCTGTCAAAGCGCTATATCGCCGCTATCAATTTGAATATTTTCGTTTTAAAAAGCGTTTAAAATAGTGTTTTCTCAAGAACAAAAAGTGTTTATCATAGAGTCCTACTTTAGAAATGGACGCAAGATTGATGGAATATGGAAGTATTCTATTGAGGAATGTTTCATAGAATTTCAAAATCAATTTCCCGGCGTTGTTGAGTACAAAATTTTTCAAAG